CTCTGCATTCTAACCTCTCTCCTAAGGTCAAGCTTCCATCCTTCAGTATAGGCACTTTCTTCAGGGAGTTTGTGTGGCTAAATTCTTGAATGTTGAGCCCTAAAAGAGTTATAATTAATAAGAAAAACAATCAGAGACTAGTGGTGGAGAAACCAATAGAAGCTGAAGCTGAGCTGTCAGCATAGCCCATTTGGAACCCGTTAATGGGGATTAGTCAAACCAGTGGCAATATTTTGCTATTGCCACTGCCAGACACTTAGAGGCACCTTGTTATAAATAAGTCAATGGGCTTTTTCAAGAGGTGTATTTTTCAAATTAAAGAAGGAACATAAACTAAAAAGCCAAAATGTCCAGCCAGGGTCTTTGCAGTCTGACAGTTATGCCAAGCCTTTCAGTGCATTGCAACAGGGATTCGGTCATTTGACTCCTGTTAATGCTAGCGGTAGGTGAAACACACTGAAAAAAGTTACCTGCAAATGGCCATTCTGAAATGGGAAGAGCATTTCCTCCAATCTTGGGGGAGGGAAAGAAGGAGGAGATTTCAATAAAGGCAGCTGAATGTTTTTATGACATATTTGTCAAAAGTAAGGAAAAGGGAAATGAGGGGACAGACTAGTCCTCAATGGAGCAGATGTGCACACAGTGTTAAACTGCCTTCTGCAAGGGTTTTTCACATCACACAGGTTAAAACCCATGTCTAACTTTATAGAATGAATTAATAACAATGAGTTGTCCTAGGATGAAGTAAGGGAGAAATTTCTACTTTCAATTTGCTTTTCCAGAGGTGGCATCAGGGTGGATAAAGAACCACCATGACAGGTCAGGCCAGCCTAGAAAGCAAGGGATATAAATCTTTGCTCTCCTTTATTAGACCCTTCACCTCTGTTTTTAAAAGCATCTCAAAAAGAAAAAAGCTGTCAACAGCCGCAAGTGCATGTAAATTCACACAGGGTTGATTACTCAGCAGACTACGCAGGGGGCCATTGTTGCACATACAATCACATGTTTGCGGTCCAAGACTGGAATAGATTGGGTTTTGCACAACAATACTCTCTACAAAAAGTGAAAAGGCAGCCTGGTGGCTTATTGCCATAGTAAATATTTAAAAAGTTAGGTCAGCTACTGAGCTTGGAGTTTTGCTTTCCCAAATCAATAAAGATGACCCTGGCAGACTGGCATTGATGGACAGCATAATCCAGAGTTTCATTTTGTCTCAAAGAGTGACCAGCAATAGAATTTCATTAGTTCATAACAAAATGTTAGGACTAGGACAGTTTGTTTGAAGAGTGATGTTATTCTGAAAAATGACTCTATGAATGAATGAAATGAATTATGCTTGAAGGTCCCAATCTTTACTGTATCTCAGTAACTACTGATCAAATTTGCTAAATTTACAAGAAAAATGTAGTGTTTTCTACCTGCCAGCCTAGCACATTCATAGAAACATAGAATCATAGATGATTAGGGTTGGAAGAGACCCCAGGAGGTCATATAGTCCAACCCTCTGCTCAAAGCAGGACCAACCCCAACTAAATCATTAATAAACATCAATTAATCATCAATAAACATAATGTTCACCAATTTATGCCCCCAATTATACCAGTGCAATCCCAATGAAGGCTAGTATATCACTAAGGAAATCATTTGACCTAAAGATCTTAATTGCTGAGAATAAAGAGGAGAGGAAATAACCCATCTTAACTCTCAGATGCCAGGGTGAGTTTGCTGATAAAACAAATCTTGTTCATTTCAACAGAAGATATGATCTGGAGTCACTGAGTCATAGTAAATATGGATGCATGTAATGGCATTACGAGGGACTTTTCAGAGTAGGCCAGCACTTTAATTACATTTGTAAAAGGCTCTTCTTGCTTTCTTGGAGGGGATCAGGGAAGTGTCCCTACTACAAATTGGAGAAATGGTCTGAGTTAAACAGGATGAAGTTTAACAAAGACAAATGCAAAGTGCTCCACTTAGGAAGAAAAAATCAGTTTCACACATACAGAATGGGAAGAGACTGTCTAGGAAGGAGTACGGCAGAAAGGGATCTAGGGGTTATAGTGGACCACAAGCTAAATATGAGTCAACAGTGTGATGCTGTTGCAAAAAAAGCAAACATGATTCTGGGATGTATTAACAGGTGTGTTGTGAGCAAGACACGAGAAGTCATTCTTCCGCTCTACTCTGCTCTGGTTAGGCCTCAGCTGGAGTATTGTGTCCAGTTCTGGGCACCGCATTTCAAGAAAGATGTGGAGAAATTGGAAAGGGTCCAGAGAAGAGCAACAAGAATGATTAAAGGTCTTGAGAACATGACCTATGAAGGAAGGCTGAAAGAATTGGGTTTGTTTAGTTTGGAAAAGAGAAGACTGAGAGGGGACATGATAGCAGTTTTCAGGTATCTAAAAGGGTGTCATAAGGAGGAGGGAGAAAACTTGTTCACCTTAGCCTGTAAGGATAGAACAAGAAGCAATGGGCTTAAACGGCAGCAAGGGAGGTCTAGGTTGGACATTAGGAAAAAGTTCCTAACTGTCAGGGTGGTTAAACACTGGAATAAATTGCCTAGGGAGGTTGTGGAATCTCCATCTCTGGAGATATTTAAGAGTAGGTTAGATAAATGTCTATCAGGGATGGTCTAGACAGTATTTGGTCCTGCCATGCAGGCAGGGGACTGGACTCGATGACCTCTCGAGGTCCCTTCCAGTCCTAGAATCTATGAATCTATGAATCTACTGTACAGCAGGAGCACACTGGATATAAAGGGACACTTTGAACTTGCCCACAGAGAAGCACCGAGAGAATGCGCCAGCTCACTTAACGGGATGGGCCCGAGCAGCAAGGCAGCAGAGTGTGTAATGTTGCTTCTCCCTGTTTGACAGACATCTGCACCACCAGACCCAAGAGGTGAGGTAGCCGCACATAAGCCAAGATAAACCAAGAGATCTAGTGCCAGACAGATTTGCCTACATGTGCTAGTCTCCCACAAAGGGGGATTGTGGCACCATTGTAAATAGGGAGGGTACAGCACAGAAGGGGATGGGGACCCCAGAAAAGCACAGAGGTGGGTGTGCGGCTGTGTCTATGGAAGGGGCAGGTGTCACATGGCTGAGGGAAGTAGAGAGGGAGGAGGGTGTGTGTGTGGGGGGAGGTGATAGGGTTCATTCTCCAGGAGGGAAGAGGGAAGGGAGTGAGAGGCAAACGGTGCTCGGCTTCTCCCCTCTGTCCCCACCTTTGAGCAGCTCCACAGGCTTGAAGTCAAAGGGGATGTTGTTCTTCTTGGCGAACATGTAGATGCATCAGCAGGACTGGGAGAGCAAATCCAGGTACAGCTCCAGCCCCATCCTGCCTGGCCGGGGGTGGGAAGAGGGCCGGGGCAGCAGTGGCGGGGATTCCGGTTACAGCTGCTGGCCATGTGGCAAACCAACAAGAAACATCGCTCCGCACTGCGGATTGTCCGAAGGAGTTAACTGAAGGGGGGTTGGGGGGAGACCAATCCGATGAGACCAAAGGGAAGACGAGGGGCTCAAGTCTGTCGTCACTACCCCTCGCCCCCTCACATGGACACAATCAGAATAACCCACGTGCAATGGAGGGCGTTTAAAACTGCCCAGTGTTTGGGGTAAGAAGGGGTGAGGGAGATAGGTGGGTTGCCTGGGGAAGAAAAGGGTGGAGCTGGTCCTGGGGGGTGGGAGGGGAGAGACGGAGGGGCAGGGACACTCATGAGCAAACCAATGCTGACAGGACCAGCCGGATGTTTCCCTTGGATTCTGCTTGGTCTTGGAAGGAACAGAAAAACTTGTATTTGTGTCAGTGTTTCTAGTTCCTCCTGCCGCATAGGGGAATGGGGGGGGAGTAGGGTGACCAGACAGCAAGTGTGAAAAATAGGGACGGGGGTGGGGGGTAATAGACATCTATATAAGAAAAAGCCCCAAATATCGGGACTGTCCCTATAAAATTGGGACATCTGGTCACCCTAGGGGGGAAGCCTCTTCGGACCTGAACACAGTGCTCTGCTGGGACACACAGCAGCATTCCTGCTTCCCCCTCCCCCTGCAGGCTGAAATACAATGCACTCCAGCCTCCTAAAGAGCTCTTTACTTGTGGATATTTTGGCTGTTATGGCTCCAATCATTCTTCTCTAAGTGGTGCCCTCCTTCTGTTTTTCTATTAACCTGCTAGAGCTCAAACTGTGGGTCGGGACCCCAAAGTGGTCACGGCCCCCTTTGAATGGGGTCGCCAGGGCTGGCAGTGGCTTAGGCTTTGTTTACACTACCAAGTTTTGTCGACTACACTTATATCAACACCCAAAAGTCGACTTTATAAAAATCAGAAAAGCTTGTTCACACTAGCCCCCTCTGGCGACAGACTGTCCACATTGGGGACCCCATCATTGACAGTGTGAACAATGCATTGTGGGTATGTATCCTACAGTGCAGGGCGACACCTTCTGTCGCTAGGTGTTGTGGAAAGGCAGAGCGGATCACGGCGCATCTTGGACCCGGGCTAAATGTCCCGTCATGCATTGCTTTGTGTCCCAGCCCTCCATTGGCTTCCGACTCTCTTTCGTGCCAATACAGATTCCACCCATTTAGAATTCTTTCACAATTGGGTGTTTTCAGCAGAATCCAAAGTCTTTGTATAGTTTTCTCATCACTGCCTCCTTAATTTTGCTGCAGTTCCAGAAGGTTTATGTGTTATTGCTACAGATCACCTAAAAGTAAATATGACAACAAAAAAGTCACAAAGCCCGTGCCCCCAGAAGATTTGCTGCCCGTTTATTTGTTCTCAGATGCTTCCTGTGAATTTACAGCTTCAGATTCTAAGATTTCCCCAGCTTCTGTCCCTGAGGACAATGGACTACAATGGACTAAGGGAGGGCTGCATTTTCCACATGGAAAGTACTGCAGTATTCTTTCCTCCTTATGAAGGGCACTTACTCATGGTGCTGGAGAGGGGGTTGGGAGAGCAAGATGGTGGAAAGATGCTGATCAAATGGTAACAGAACGTTAACTCATTTCATCATTTTCCTTAGCACAGGCGCCAGATGCTCTTTCAGCTGTGGGTCAATTTGGATGTTGCTGAGTTCCTTGATATTCAGAATAAGCTCGTGTGCTTCCTGGAAGAGCTCCTTCCCCACAGCTTCCTCCACCCGGTTGCGCCATTCTGACAGCTTGGGTCTGTCTTCAAAGATGTCACAACCTACTCCAATGGGCTGCATAGAGAGACACAACTGCAGTGAGACATGCTGAAGCTTCCACAAGGGAAGCCACCGTAAGCGTGTGTGTGTGTGTGTGTGTGTGTGTGTGTGTGTGTGTGTGAGAACTCATGGAAGAGCATCAGAAAGGTTGGGAGATCTCCTAGTCTACCTATGCATCTGGAAAAAAACTCAACTGGACTGTATTTCTTCGTGTGTTTTAATAGTCCCAAATCCACTCCTGACAAAAGTGGCCAATTTTACTCGATGATGACACACGATGTGGCTAGCACTTATTGTGAGTAATGCTCAGCTACAGTATTAAAGAGATGGGGCTAGAGATTCCATTGGTGGCTGCTGATATTGCCTAATTGCTATTTGTACAGTAGTGAGGAATGCTAAACCAGATAGCAACTTATGAGACCACCACCACTGTTGTAACTTAAGCTGAGGTTTTAGTTGGCGCTTCCCCTCTACTTTCTGCCTGTCCCACCCTCCGAAATGCTTCACTGCAGAGATGCAGCACTGCTATTTGTTAGCCACTGGGACATGGAATTAGGAGCGGGAAATGCTCTTGCTCTGCAGGATCCCGGCTCTGATGGCCTAGGACCGAGCAACCAATCTAAGTATGATCCACTTAATTTGATTTAAAAAAAAAAGCTCCCCACAGCTTTGCTACTGGAGGAGTTTCAAGTTGGTATCTTGTGGGTCCAGTGTGGGGAAGTATAGGTAGGTCTGGAGGAGAATATTCTAATATGGGAATCTCTCCCTCTGCTGAATTAGATCTGCAACCCTGCTCTAGGGAAATAGTACCACATGCTGCTCATTCCCAGGTAGTTAGACAATACCAGCTTTTCCTTGTGCTGAGTCTTCATGATTACAATCCACTACTCACCTGCATGAGCTCCACAATAGCCATTAGGTCTGCCAGGGAGATCTCACTGCCCACGATGAACGGCTTGTCCTGAAGGAATTTCTCCTCAAACTGCTTCAGAGAAATAGCCAGCTCATCCATAACCTCCTGCAGCTTCTCTGGAGGCAGTGTCTGGCCTGTAAAGAGGGGAATGAGCACCTATGTGGGGAGAAGGGAATAGACTTAGCCTCCGTAGAGGTACTTGCACTAGATTTCCTTTGCCTTTGCAAATGGGATCCACTAAGTTTACTGATCATCATGTCCTACACTCTAGGATCAGTTTGAAGTGATGCTATATTCACATGTGGCAAGATCTCAGCTTTCATAGAATCATAGAATCATAGAATATCAGGGTTGGAAGGGACCTCAGGAGGTCATCTAGTCCAACCCCCTGCTCAAAGCAGGACCAATTCCCAACTAAATTATCCCAGCAAGTCAACATTATTAAAAGGAGAACTCTGTAAAAGAGGCAAAATAAATAAGATAGCTCATGAAGCACATCAAAAGGGCACTTACTGGAAAACTGGCATTTGTAAGCAATTATTGACATAAAGACATGCTTATCATCTGATTGATCCTTTACCCTCCAAAATGCTCACAGTCAAAGCAATCGTGTCCAAAGACCACACAGCTTCCTCCCGCTATGGCTTCTGATTAACCCTCTTGTTTATTTTGGGACTGTGGCGCTGACAGCTAGCCAGCTCAGGTCACAACTTGTTAGAAAATAACAAAAATGGATGTTATCACATTATGTGTACCTGGTAATTACATTTGCTTTAGATGCACGAAAGCTAGTGAAATTATGTTATTGTCTTCACCTGTTTCCTGTGATTGCTATCTTTGTACTTAATTAACCTTAGCCCAGCAGTTCTCAAATGGGGAGAACCATTTTAATGGGGTCACCAGAGCTGAAGCCTGAGCCCAACTGCCCGGGGTTGAAGCCTGAGGGCTTCAGCTTTGGCTGATGGGGCTCAGGTTACAGGCCCCCAGCCTGGGGTTGCAGCCCCTGGGCTTGGGCTTTGGCTCCTCACACCTAGGGCAGTGGGGCTTGGGGTCCCCCCACCCCCCACTAGGGGTCATGTAGTAATTTTTGTTGTCAGAAGGAGGTCGTGGTGCAATGAAGTTTGAGAACCCCTGCCTTAGATCAAAGATGTGTTAGGATAAGAGTTGGCTTGATGTCACATTGTTCATGAAAACTAATGAAATTGTCTGGATGCCTATAACTAAATGTATTAGGATGTCTCTATAATTGAATGGCCCATCAACTGGGGTTGAAGCCTTAAACTTTAAATGAGAAGGTTGTTAACTTCAAAGTATAGGTCATTATGTAAGACAATGGAAGATCTACAAACTTGGTCTGCATTTAATCGACAAAACAAGAGCCCCTGCAGTGATGTAACCTCTTGCCAGACTTTTCAACTATAAAAAGGGAACCTGGGAATGATTCTGCATCTCTGATCTATTTGGATGCTGTTAGGGAGCATTCCAAATACAAGACAGAGGTCCCCAAAGCCATTTTGGGCAGCCCTAAGAGATTATGGAGAACTAAGCAAATACACCATCTCTGCTATCACTTTGGACTTACAAACTTTGATTCACCTGTTATGTATTTTATCTGCTTTAACCTCCCAGTAACGATCATTTCTTTTTCTTAGCTAATAAATATTAGGTTAGTTTACTAGAGAAATTGGCTTTGGTGATTTCTGGTTTTAATAAACTTTCATCATAAAATCCAGTTTATCTGGGTGGTAAAAAGGGGCTGGAGAGCTTAAGGGGACTGTTCACGGCTCCATGGTTAGACTAATTCAGTAGTCCAGGAGTGCACATTTGTTACTGGTTTGGTGAAATCTAATTATAGAATATACCACCAGTTTGGGGTATTGGCCCTGTTTTCTGACAGTCTGACCTGAGATTGACTCTTTCTGTTGTAGCCACATACCAGGCACCGTGACAGGAAAGCAGAGCTCTGATCACAGGTAAAACTGGGAGCAAATGTCTCCTAATCATTAGCATACACAGCAATTCATTCCATGATTGCTTAACCCAGGCCAGGATTTAAGCAGATTCTATGTGGCAACAATATGAAGCACATGCAGTATCCCTTAGCATGTGGGCTATATATTCATAGATTTCAAGGCCAGAAGGGACCATTATGATCATCTAGTGTTACCTTTGCCATAGAACTTCACCCAGTGATTCCTGCATAAAGATAACTTGTGGCTGAACTACAGCATTTTTGTTTTGGAAAGACATCCAGTCTTGATTGAAAGACTCCAACTGATGGAGAATGTACACATTCCTTGGTATCCTGTTCTAATGATTACTTACATTCCCAGTTAGAATCGAACTTTGCTACAAGGTCTTTGTAAGTCCGGCATCCTGAATAAAGAATCCCCTCTGTGTTTACTACACCCCAAGGTCTGGCTCTTCTCCATGGCAAGGGACACAACAGTCATATGGTTTTAATTTGATATTATTAATAAAAAAGATACAAATCCTGCATTTATTTTCCAGGGATCATCAAGTGAATCAGGAAGAAGTTTTATTACTTGGTTCAGAAGCAATGATGGAGCTCAGCCCCTGTTCAGCATAGTTTATTCAGAACTGGACGTGCCATAGATCTTTCAGGCCAGAAGGAACCATTAAGATCATCTAGTTGGTTCTCCTGCATACCACAGGCCAGTAAACCTCATCCTGTAATTTCTCCATCAAGCCCATAACTTCTGTTTGAGCTATAGCATATCTTTTAGAAAGACATCCAGTCTTGATTTAAAGACTTCTGGTATAGATAATCCCTTACATTCATAGGTCAGATGTTCCAATGGTGAATCATAGCATTTCTGTGTAGTGGCTTGGGACAGCATCTTCCTCCTTTTCCCATTCTAGGGACAGTATGACTTCTCCCATATCCTAGTTAGTGCCCTGTGCTACAGAGTGGTTTTATATCCTTTCCTACCTCCAGTGATCCAGCGGATACTTCCTGGACCAGGGTTATCTAATCAGCAGTGAAATTAAGTTGGATTAGAACATAAACACATAAGAATGGCCATACTGGGTCAGACCAAAGCTCCATCTAGCCCAGTATCCTGTCTTCCAACTGTGGCCAATGCCAGGTGCCCCAGAGGGAATGAACAGAACAAGGAATCATTGAATGATCCATCCCGTTGCCCATTCCCAGTCTCTGGCAAACAGAGGCTAGGGACACCATCCCTGCCCTTCCTGGCTAATAGCCACTGATGGATCTATCCTCCATGAATTTATCTAGTTCTTTTTTGAAGCCTGTTATAGTCTTGGCCTTCACAACATCCTCTGGCAAAGAGTTCCACAGGTTGACTGTGCATTGTGTGAAGAAATATGTCTTTTTGTTTGTTTTAAACCTGCTGCCTATTAATTTCATTTGGTGACCTCTAATTCTTGTGTTATGAGAAGGAGTAAATAACACTTCCTTATTTACTCTTTCCACACCAGACATGATTTTATAGACCTCTATCATAACCCCCCTTAATCATCTCTTTTCCAAGATGACAAGTCCCAATCTTATTAATCGCTCCTAAATCGGAAGCTGTTCCATACCCCCTAATCAATTTTGTTGCCCTTTTCTGAACCTTTTCCAATTCCAATATATCTTTTTTGAGATGGGGCGACCACATCTGTACGCAGTATTCAAAATGTGGGGGTACCATGGATTTATATAGAGGTCATATAATATTTTCTATCTTATTATCTATCCCTTCCTTAATGACGCACAACATTCTGTTAGCTTTTTTGACTGCCACTGCACATGGAGTGGATGTTTTCAGAGAACTATCCACAATGACTCCAAGATCTCTTTCTTGAGTGGTAACAGCTAATTTATATTTTATGTGTATAGTTGGATTATGTTTTCCAATGTGCATTACTTTGCATTTATCAACATTGAATTTCATCTGCCATTTTGTTGCCCAGTCACCCAGTTTTGTGAGATCCCTTTGTAGCTCTTCGAAATCTGCTTTGGACTTTACTATCTTGAGTAGTTTTGTATCATCTGCAAATGTTGCCACCTCACTGTTTATGCCTTTTTCCAGATAATTTATGAATATGTTGAATAGGACTGGCCCCCAGCACAGACCCCTGGGGGACACCACTATTTTCCTCTCTCCATTCTGAAACCTGACCATTTATTCCTACCATTTGTTTCCTATCTTTTAACCAGCTACCGATCCATGAGAGGACCTTCCCTCTTATCCCATCACAGCTTACTTTGCTTAAGAGACTTTGGTGAGGGACCTTGTCAAAGGCTTTCTGAAAATCTAAGTACACTATATCCATTGTATCCCCCTTGTTCACATGCTTGTTGACCCCCTGAAAGAATTCTAGTAGATTGGTGAGGCATGACTTACAAAAAACATGTTGACTCTTCCCTAACAAATTATGTTCATCTATGTATCTGACAATTCTGTTCTTTACTATAGTTTCAACCAGTTTGCCTGGTCCTGAAGTCAGGTTTACCGGCCTGTAATTGCCAGCATCAACTCTGGAGCCCTTTTTAAAAATTGATGTCACATTAGCCATCCTCCAGTCATTTGGTACAGAAGCTGATTTAAATGATAGGTTACAAACCACAGTTAGTAGTTCTGCAATTTCACATTAGAGTTCCTTCAGAACTCTTGGGTGAATACCAGCTGGTCCTGGTGACTTATTACTGGTTAATTTATCAATTTGTTCCAAAACCTCCTTTAATGACACTTCAATATGGGACAGTTCCTCTGACTTGTCACCTAAAAAGAATGGCTCAGGTTTGGGAATCTCCCTCATATCCTCAGCCATGAAGACAGATGCAAAGAATTCATTTAGTTTCTCTGCAATGGCCTTATCATCCTTGAGTGCTCCTTTAGCATCTCGATTGTCCAGGGGCCCCACTGGTTGTTTAGCAGGCTTCCTGCTTCTGATGTACTTAAAATGTTTTTGCTATTACTTTTTGAGTCTTTGGCTAGCTGTTCTTCACATTTTTTTTTGGCCTTCCTAATTATATTTTTACACTTCACTTGCCAGAGTTTATGCTCCTTTCTATTTTCCTCAGTAGGATTTAACTTCCACTTTTAATTTTCTTTGAAGCCTTGTGAGAGCAGGTTGCAGAGATTGGAAGCAATTGTATGTTGCATATGTGACTCATATTTGTGTTTCTTCTTTGTGGAGTTTAGCCAACTGTACTCTAATGTCAACAGAACAGGAAGCTAAACAAGCCCCAAGGTGTTTAGTCAATTACTGACAAGGGTAAAGTTACAACAAGCAAGATGAAGTTATTACATGTTTACTGGCAACTCTCCGCTCAGAGTGTATCCCCATTATTTCTATTCTTGTTCCCATTTTGGAGTAGCATCTGTGTGTGCTGGAAGCAGACAGTCCCCTACAGATTTCATAATTGGTGGGTCTGCAGGGGAGCTGTGGTTAAAGAATACAAGCCTTTCAGCTTTGTATAGAAGAGCATGCACAAGAGAAGCAAAAGGAACCCAGGTCCTATTCACATCTCCAAGCTCTCTCTTTGGCTATGTCTATACTAAAACCAAAGGGTGTGATGCGATTTGAGTAGACATTCCTGAGCTAGCTTTAATCTAGCAGTGAAGGGGCAGCAGCACAGGCTTCAGCAGGGACTAGCCACCTGAATAATCACCTAGGGTACCGGGTCTGGGTGGGCTTGTACAGCCTGTATTGAAGCAGCTTCACTTTCTGAAGATCTGTGCTTCCCTGACGAGGTTCAGACCTTCTGTGTTAGACTGATATTTTTAAGGGAAAATTATTACCAAAGCCTTCCTTCCCACATCCAAATACTAAGGCAACAATTGCCTATGTGAGGTTTCTTCTCAGCTGGGTATGGGGCCAAGTGTGCTATTTTGGGGAGACAAACTTGCTTTGTCTAGGAGCTGTTTAAATGTCCCATGTCCAGTGAGGAAATACTAGTATTCTGAGCTTTTAGCATTTAATCTTCTTACCTTGATCCACAAGGCCTTGCCAGCATTACTCCGGATGTTGGTATGATGCCATGACAGGTATTCATCTACCCGGGCCCGTTTCTGTGTGTCGGACGGGTACCAGTGATCAGGGGTGTTGTACTTCCGGCTCAGATACAGAAGAATTGCAGTGCTGTCCAGAAATTAATGGGAGACAAACCATGGGGCAGATAAGGTGAAAGAATATATTGAGCTGCAACAATCTCTCCTCCCTCTTGCCTAATGTTGCTTCCACTAAAAAGTGTTGGGGCTGGGATTTTCAAAGGAGCCTAATGGAGGTAGCCACTCAATTCCCACTGAAAGTCAATCAAAGCTGGGCTGGGCACCTAACTGTTCTAGGCTCCTTTCAGAACTTTAACCTGTAGGAAAATTAAGCCTCAAGATGAAACCAGTGTTTGTACAGTGCCTAGCACAATGGAGTCCTGGTCTATGACTAGTGCTCCTAGGTGCTCCAGTAACACTACTATTACTACTACTAACACTAATAATAATCTGTAGACAATAGTTTGCTAAAAACCCGTTAGCAGCTGTAACTCTTCTGATGCCTCTCTCATCAATGAAGATTTTCAAGGGGTTTGTGTACCAAAAGAAACTCTCTTTAAGTGGCACCCTCCTCCAATCATCTTCATAAAGGCCCTGTCCTGCAAGGTCTCCCCTCCCAGAGCTCCTAGTGAGGTCAAGGGAATTCCTTGCACAGAGAGCTTGCAGGATCAGGCCCTTGGTGTTTGTTGCAGCTTGCAGTCCAGTGTTTGTGTCATCTCTAGCAGGCAGGAGAAATCAGCTGGTTAAAAATCTTGGTAATTTGCAATGGCTTATGGTCAGCTATTGTGGTGGGGAGTGAGTGCCATAGAAAAACCTATACTGACAAAAGTAAAGAAAGAAAATACAAGCAGCCCATGCCATTCTGAGACAGATATCACTGAACTATTTTAGCATTATGACAGTGTTAGCCTGCTGAGCTAGGGCTCTTCAAAGGATGCAGACAGGTCATTTTGTAAAATAAAAACAAGGTTTTATCTGTCTGATGCTTATATGGCCTTTGTCACTGTAGTATCTGAGTGACTAACATAAACAGAAATGTTGCCATGATTTTGTATTTCAGAGTAAAAGTTTTTGTTTGTTTGTTTAGCTTTAAGCATTCCTCTGCAGTGTTCGTAACCCAAGACTTTGTTGTATAGTGCATGCACATGAGAACTAGATGGCAAAACCCATGCCTAAGGCCCTAGGTGCTATGGTCACACAAATAATACATAATAACAATAGTATGTTTTCATCATGGAAGCTAACAAATGCAGAAAAGCAAACAAAGTAAATGAGATTTTTTATTACAATAACCTGAGATGTTAAAAGGTAAGAATTTTAAATCTTTGTGTATGATTTTTATCTTGGCAGTGTCCCTTTCATTGTAAAGAGGTTTCAAATGTAAAAAGGTCATTGCAAAACATTTTCAGTGGATACCCATGGCCCAAGCATGAGTGTCAATTAAATTAACCCCTTCAGAGCCAGCAGAGAGGCACATGAGACAAACACTGTATTGTCCTGCTCCAGCCCATACTAGAAAATCCTTGGTTCCCCATGAATAACAAGAATCAATTAATCTAGAATGACTACTCCACAATTTCAAATACACCTAACCAAAGAGGACCCTTCTGAGTATCAGCTCCAAGTCTGAACCATATCATATGTTTGAAATATGTGCATAGATTTAAGAACATAAGAACGGCCATACTGGGTTAGACCAAATGTCCATCTAGCCCAGTATCCTGTCATCCGACAGTGGCCAATGCCAGGTGCTTCGGAGGGAATGAACAGAACAGGTAATCATCAAGTGATCCATCCCATCGCCCATTTCCAGCTTTAAACACCTAAATGATAACACTGCATGTGAGTCAAGTCCTTACCATCTCCTTTCTTTGCAGGAACATAGGAGCTGAGATACCAAAGCAGATCATTGATCTATCTAATCCATAAATGTATATGGCAAATTCTGCAATTTTCTTTTGTCAGCCATAGGGAATGACACTTCCCAACCCCTGAATTTAATCACCTTATCCCCTCATAAGTATGGTGAGTAATGGAATTTGGGGATTGAATTCTTACCTCTCTGCTAAGGTGAAGACTCCATCCTTCAGTGCTGGCACTTTCTTTAGGATGTTCACTTTGCCAAACTCTTCTCTATACTGTTGCCCTAAAAACAATTAAAATGTGATAGTCCATGGTCAGAAGTATCTAAACCTGTGAAAACTGAAGCAAGCACCTAGCTCCTACGTAACTAGACCATGCATGAATGAGGATCAGTCAAACCCATACGAACATTCTACCTTCACTTCATGGTGTTCTGTTAGAGTTTTCCTACATGTGCCTGTTTCATATTAAAAAGGGGCATAAGTTAAAGAGCCAAAACATAAGCTATGTGTGAACTTTGCAAGCTGCTCAGGTCTGCCAATGGCATGGAGCAGTTCAGGATGTTGCATGAGGATTCAGTCATTTGACTCCTGTCAGTGTTAGTTATTAGTATTATATAGTTTATATTATGTAGCAAATATTATGTATTTTTAAAGGCCCTCTATTTAAGCTAAATGAAATACCCTCCTATCATGCTTTGCACTAGAAATGTATTAAACTGTGATTAGGCTTTTTCTTCTTGGTACATGTGAAAATCATCAAGGACAAGATAGCGTGTAGTTGAGGTTTGCTAAAATTAATCGATAACTATAATTGTTGCAGTTTTCTATAAACATTTTGGTATAGATGTCCAAGAACCTTGGAAAACATGTGCAAACTGGATAAGAAAGGAAAATAGGATACATAATGAGACAATGGAATGTGGGGAATTTCCTGTCCGTGATAAACAACACAGAGGGGTGTGTGTGTGTCCATCAGTGGTGTGATAAAGTGTAATCCATGGTTAATAATTGTGATTTTGCATGGTCTCAATCATGGTGTCCCCAAGGGTTTGTAAAAGAACCCCTGTGACTCAAACAGTGGGAGTCACACCCCTGAGGTGGCTGTAAGAGGGATGACTTGTCCTTACAAGGCTCGGTGGCACTTGACTGCAGTATTGCTGGTGCAGGTAGCAAGTGGGGATTAAGCCCCAAGCCCCATGTCGTTGTCTAGCTCAGTCAGGCCTCCCTGTGGGGGTGTCGCTAGGCACAATGTTCCTGCTGAGCCCCTCAAGGGGCACGGCTGAACCTGTGCTCTCCACCGCAGGCCTCTTGCTGGCAGGGTTAAGAGCACAGCTAAGGACCGAACCAGCCCGCAGTGTTGCCACATGGGACAGGACTGGTGCTGAGGTGGAGCCCAATGGGCATGAGGGGAAAATTTCCCACCATCCGGTGAATTTAAACCTTGCCTGGGCTGAGGGAAATAGCCCTCTGATTGGCTGTCTTCCCTACCTGCCCGCCTCCTTGGGCTGAGTGACCAATCAGAGCTGCTACAGGAAGAGCTAGCAGCTCCCTCTCCACAGCAACCCAAAGCCATTCTCACAGGAGGGGAAGGCGGAAAGAGCCCAGCCCTCAGGGCAGCTCTGCTGCCTCCTCCCGCTTCCCTCACTGCAACACCGGCCCTGAGCAGGAGGGGGGGCGAAGAGCCCATGGAGCTGCCCCCAGCCAGGAAAGGGAGAGCAAACCCCACTGCACCCCCAGGCCTGGGAGTGGGGGTGCAGAACCATAGCAGGAGCAGAGGTGAGGCTGGGGCGGGGGCTGGGCTGATTGGGGGCAGGGGCTGAACTGATGGGCTCCAGGGGGCAGGACTGATCTGGAGGTTGGGGCAGGGGCAGAATTAATTGCTGGGCAGGAGATAGGCAGATGTGGGGTAAGAGTTCCTGCAGCAGAGGCCAAAATCACCTCACCCAATAAATCTGGGAAATAGTCAACACTAGTTGTCATACACAGACAGGCACGCACAGACACAGGCACGCACACACACGGGCTGTCCATAAATTATGTAATACATTTTTTGATTATTTTCGAGCCCCACCCACCTCTTGTAACACGTAATAACACTGAAACAAACACACAAAATTAACCACCCACCCACCCCCTTATGTAACTTATGGATAGCCCCACCACCACCACCTCACAGACACAAAGGGGATGGGGAGGAGGAGTTAAAAAAAATCAAAAGTCAGACCAAAACAACCACAATATCACCTTTAAAAAAAAACAACCATGATTTTTGTGGGGTCTGACTCATGGCACTTGAAGTCAGCAATACTGGAATCAGCCAAGGAAAGTGAAGATCAGCAGAACAGGGTTGAGGCACGGCAGTAAGGCCAAGTGTTGAGACCTGCGCTGCAGCTGCTTGTAGCTATCCTGTGCAAAAGGGGGATTTCTAGCACCTCTCACCACCCCAAATAGTCATTAACGTTAAACAAATCTGTTAACTGAGAGGCACAAACAAATCTCCAAAGAAAAGAACAGCCCTGAGGCAAAGTACAGGGGCAAGGCTCATTATCTCCAATATTTTGAGCTCTGTTGACAGACTGAGCTCTCTGCAGAGTTAGGCTTAGCTTTTGGATTCTGTAACAGACAGAGCAGGCTGTAGGGAGTTGTCTCCATGAGGATTTAGTTGTTGTCCATGATGTTAGTGAGACAAACGATCCCAAACGTGGGGATTCTGTATGTGGGAATCAGCATGTGCATCTTGGACAGTAGCTTCACCGTGTTAGGTTAAAGGGAAACAGCATTCATGTTTCCCAGCAGTCTAAAAGTTCACAAGAAACACCTTTCAAAGCAAGTGCACTGGTGTCTGAGCCTACTGTTAGAGGCAGCCAACAACTGAGTGATGATGCCCTTTATCACAGTGGCAGCAGGAGAGCTCCATGTGTAATACTCTGAACCAGCTTCCAAGCTGCTTTAATAATTAACAGCCCTATTAAGAACTCAAAATTAGTGTCCTTGATGGAACTATTAAATTATTAAAGCAGTTTGGAGACTGGTTCAGAGTCTCTTACAGGAAGCTCTCATGCTGCCATTGTCACAAATGAGAAATTACATCTAATTTTTTTGTTTTATGATGGCTTTACATATTCAATACAGCCTTGCTGAGATTTCTGTCACAGGGCTGTGCAGTGAACCATTCAGGTTTGCAAAGAAAAGCCTTAATGCCAACGCTGGTTTCACATTGCTTCAATGGGATTAATGGTTTATTTATTTATTTATTATGATAATTATTATGACTGATCTTTATATTTGCAGTTTAGCAGAGATGACACTGTAGCTCCTATTCTACTAGGCTGTGCTGGCCACTATATGTGAGAAGCCTGTTCACAGGTTACCTGGTGTTGACCTGACTTGTGGAGTCATCTTTTGAATGAGAACCGGATCTGCTGCAAGTAATGAATGATTTCAAAGCCGCACCTCCAGCTCTCTTGGGGTTATGTACACAAGGGTGGTTGCCCTGCCTCAGAGAGCAATTTCAATAGGTAGTACACACAGTTGTTCATGGAATCAAGAAACTGGTTAGGATACTAACAATAAAGACTCCTAGGTATAAGGCCTTAGGGGAAAGGAAGTTTATTGGACAAAGGAAAAAGAGCAAAGTGGGTAATACGTTATAAAGAAAAGAGAAAAATCAGTCCATTTGTCATGGCCAGCCATTCGCCCGGGACTCACATTTCTGAGAACTCCACTTCTTTTTAGTTTCAAAGTTGACTAGGGTGACCAGATGTCCTGTTTTTAAAGGGATAGTCCCGTATTTAAGCCCTCCTGCAGGTGTCCTTACTTTTTCTTAAAAACGGGCAAATTGTCCCATATTTTCTGTCTCCCGCCATCAGTACTGGCAGGTCCTTCTGCTGACCAGATCCCTGCTCGCCAGCCACCCGCCCACCAGCGGTGAATGGAGGGGTCCAGTGGCCAATGGTGGGTGTGGGTGTGCAAGCCTTGTGGCAGGGCAAAGCTGCAGCGCACGGGGCCGGGCACTCACCCTGCTGGTCCATCAGCGCAGTCCCTGCTGCGTGCCGGCTCTTGGCCAGCAGGGCCCCATCCCCTGTCCTGTTTCCGGCTGGCATTGGCTGCGAGCTGCGGTGGCTGGTGAGTGTGGGCAGGCACCGGGTGGCATCTGGTTATGTGTCGCCTCTGCTGCCCACCCACTGGTCCTTTACATATTCTCGCTCCCCTGTCCTCTCCCTCTTCACCTCCTCCAGCCCCACTGCTCCTCCATATCCCCCCCCCCGGTGGGGCGCGTCCCACTCCCAGCACTGTGCGGAGAACCAGCCCCCGGTCAGAGTGCTCAGCTCACCAACAGCCTGGCTGGCAGGCTCCTTCCTTCCCCGACTGCCTCTGGCTGGGCCAGCGCCCTGGAAAAGCCCAAGACCCTCTGGCCCAGCGCGCTGGCCAGGAGGAGCTGAGCCCTGCATGTACCACCCTGGCAGGGAGGGCGGAGAGTGCCGGGCAGGGAGGGTTGGGTTGCTTGGTCACCCCCCTGTGTGAGAGAGGTGTACAGGAGTGTGTGTGTGTCATCTCTCCCTACGTGAACCCTAAAGCCTTAAATATAAGAAGGTAAATAAAAAGAATCCAACTACGCAGTATTTCTTTTTAACAGGAGCTTAGTCAACTTGATGTTAATTTGAACATTTGTACTGCAGTTTTCATTGATTGCCGTTGAACTAGCTTGAATACGAGTAACTTTACCACGTCTCCCGTATTCAGCATAGGGAAATACAGTCACCCTAAAGTTGGCAGATGGGTGTAGCTGGAAGCTGCAGTCAGTAAATGAGTAACAGTCATTTTAAACAATTGCGGGGGTCTAAACAGAAGCAAGCTGAGTGCTTCTGATAAATACACAATCCTATATAGTGCTCCCATGCAGACATTCAGGGCATCTCTACACAACAATGTCCAGTGCCCAGGCTGTCCTTCCCCTGCAAATTCTCTGTAACTAACCAACTAAACTCGCTAGACATGGCTGTAGGGCATTCCCTGCAGTGCCACAGAAGCAGCCACAATACAGATGAGTCAGTTGGGCATCCCAGGAATAGAAGCACACTGGTCAAACCACAGAAGCCTCTGCATTAGCTCCCCACAGTAGGGAGTTAAAATAGTGCCATTGCCTTAGCAGTTAATCCTTCTCTCTCTCAACAGGCTGAGCAAAGCTTCCAGGTGCTGGAATAGTGGAATGGATTCAGTTAGACTGTGCATCCCTTCACAGAGTTTACCTTCTTTTGTGTCTCTCCCATGTGTAAGCAGAGTCAGGATGAGCTCTACCCTTACATCTGGTGGTGAATTATGGCTAGTGTGGAAAATAACTTCAGGGACTGAACTTGTTTGCATAGGCACACCCACCCCACCTAGCATGAGCCCACGGCAGCCCAAAATGGTCACTTTGGCTGCTGTGGGATCCCCAGTTTCTCTGTTATTGGGGCAGGAGGAATAAAGTGTTGTTACCCTGATTATGTGAATCAAGGACAATGAAACTGTTTTATGACAGAGGGTCTCACCATCACCTAAGTAGCACTCGCTAGACAAGGGTTCCAAAACCCAGTGAATAGAGAGAGGTTGGGGGTAAGTATTTGTAGTGTGGGTCTCCTTTGTGAGCCTGCAACACCAATTGCACCTCCTCTTCTCTCCACTGTTGAATGTCAGAGCTGACTTTGAGTTTATTAGGAATCTAGTTATAGGCTGCTGAGCTGAATTCACTTTGAGCCAAGGGTGCACCAGCACTGGGGCTCCCCTACTACACGCTGAAATCACTAAGAGCTGAAATCACAAAAGAGTTTAAGTTATTAAGAGCTGAGATCACTGAGTGCTGTGTTAACTAGTGGGGGAGCCTGAAGCTATATTGCTAAGCAGTTGGCGGAGCAGTTTGCGGGGACGACTGGAGGAGTGGCTGGCAGAGCGGAGCAGTTTGTGGGATGGTTGGAGCGGCCCTCGGAACAGCAAGCGGAGCGGAGCCACGGAGCTGAGCAGTTTGCGGGGACGGTTGGGGCAGCCCACGGAATGGCGAGCTGAGCAGTTTGCGGGGATGGTTGGAGCGG